AAAATTCGTGCTTATAAGCGTGAGCGCTCACAGCGCGTAAGCGTCCAAGTCGAATGCACCCAATATGAATTGACAGCTAGCTGACAGTTCAATATTGCACAATATGATGGTATTTTATATTTTATAACTTTTTATATATCGTTATACAGATTGTTTAAAAGATAATTATTTCTAATATGGATGAGAATCAAGAAAGACAGTGTGACGAATTATCTACTTTAGAAAGCATATGTGGGGAGAATGAGTTTTCTTATTCTATTCCTGACAAAATTCCTGTAAGTTTATGTCCATATATATCATATGGAGTATTTTAAATTTTTTTATTTATTAGGTCGGATATGCCGATATATGCGTGGATTCATCGCCAATTGAAGTCTTTTTTGTTGATCCCAAATCACATAAAACATCTTCAATAACGGTGAGTTTTTTTGGAGGTTATGAATTTTTTATTTAAGATACTATATATTTTTTATTTAAGTTGAACAAAGAAAATTTAAATAAAAATTATAATATTTTTTTGCTATAGATTATTCTATTCGAATTGACATTATAATTTTTATAATTCTATTACAAATTGATTGAATTAAGGACATTCTCTTTCTTTAAGCCAACCACCAAAGATTAAAAGCAAAGATTTTATTAATTATTTTATTATTAAAGTTAGTTTAAAGTCTGCTCATGAATCTATTTAGGTTTCCTATTTACCACCAATAAGGCTGAATTTTCAATTGCCTAAAGATTATCCAAAATCTGTGTCTCCGAAATTTGTTATTAGTTGTAACTGGCTTACACATGAACAGTTGATAAAGCTTTGTGATTATTTAGATGAAATTTGGAATACGGATCCAGGTAAAACTAATGATAATAAATAAATTAAGCTTATTTGTAGAAGATATTATTTATATATTATTACAACAGGTGAAGAAGTTTTGTATAAATGGATGCAGTTTTTGAAACATGAAACCATGACATTTTTACAAATTAAGGAAATTAATATAACTCAAAGGAAAAAAACAAATTCTGAAAAATCTCCGATCACCACAAATGACTCAGATGTTGATAATGAAAAAGAGAATAAATAAACAATACCGAGAAAATAGATATATCATTTTCTTCTCAAAAAACTTCAAAAGATTCAAGAGTTTTAATCGATAGAAGTATAGACATGCTCATCACTAATTTGAAAGAATATAATGAAAAATGTCTTTTAGAAGAATTTAATTTAACATATGTATTTTGTGAAATATGTTTTGTATCCAATTCAGGAGCACATTGCATCAAATTCAGGTAATATATTTCATTCAGATTAGAAATTTGGATTTTAGTTTATACTTAAGTTGAATACTATTTGATTTTGCTGATTAATTAATAAGTAATCATTTGGAAAGTTTAGTGAAATATTATAATTAATAATATTTAAATTTCAATTCAAAAATGAGATCTGTAGGTTTGAAATAATAATTATTATAATCTAAATTTATACTTTGATTATAGCTGTGACCATGCTTTTTGTAAATTATGTGTGTCAGAATATTTATTAACAAAAATTAAAGATGGTAATGTCATTGGCATTACTTGTCCAGCAATAAATTGCAAGCAAGAAATCAGCATAGCTCAAATCAAGAATTTAATTTCGCAAGAAAACTTTCTCAAGTAAGTTTAGAATAACATTAATAATTCAATTGTTAATTGTTCTCTTATAATTGAAATTTTTTCTAGATTTGAAAAGCTTATGCTTAGTCAAACATTAGATACGATGATGGATATTATATATTGCCCAAGAGTAGTTTGCCAATATCCTGTTACTTACGACCCATCTGAAGCCGTTGCCTCATGTCCAAATTGCTTATATTCTTTTTGTGTACTTTGCAAAAGGGTATATCACGGTGTGGAACCTTGCAAATTAAAACAAGGTGAGTGTTATGTAGAGATATATCTAAAAATGTGTGTAGTAAGATTTTCGTGAAATACAAATATATATTTGAACATATTTTTATTAAATGCGTTTTTTTCAGAGGATAGATTAGCTGTCATTGAAAAATATCAAAACGGAACCGATGAATATAGACAAGAAATAAATAAAAGGTATGGTGAAAAGTATATTAAAAGGTTATTAGAAGATCATGCTTCTGAAGAAACTATAAACAATAGCACGAAACCATGTCCAAAATGTGGAGTTCAAATAGAGGTAGCTTACATTAATTTATTTCCTAATATTTATATATGACAAAATACATATATTTATAATTAACATAAATAATTTAGAAATCGGAGGGATGCAATAAGATGACATGTAACAGATGCCAGACATTTTTTGCTATTTATGTTCTTCAGTTTTAGACAGAGGTGATCCATATGATCATTTTGCAAATCCTGCTTCAAGATGTTATAATAAATTATTTCCGCATGAAAGAACTGAAGATGATTAAGTAGATGAAATGTTTAACAATATTTTATTTTTTTGATACTATATTTTTAACAATTTTATTTAATTTATTTGTATAAATAGATAATTCCTATATTTATATTAAATTGTATAAATGTAAAAAGACCTATGTTTAAAAAATATATTTTCATAATGAACACTATTTAAAAGTAGTCTTTCAATTAAGGCTGCATTCTTAAAGCTCCATCAACTCGAATCACTTCACCATTTAGAAGAGGATTTTCAATAATTGTTTGTACCATATGAGCAAATTCAGAGGGCTCTCCAAGTCTTTGAGGAAATGGAATAGTTTTTGCCAAAAATGCTCTTACTTTCTCTGGAAGTTGTTGTAGAAGTGGTGTGTTGAATAAACCTTAAAAAAAAATTGCCTTAAGAAGAGGTATGCTATTTATAAATTCTCATTAAATAGTAGCTCTTGTACTCTTCATTTGAAATAAACAGGAAAACAGTCTAAAATTTATAACAATATAGAAGTTGTCTTAAAATTATAGAACTTCAATATTGCAATTACTTTCTTATAATATTCTTTGAAGACTCTCTTTCGTTAAAAATTAAAATTCTCAGAATTAAATAATCGTATTTCCAGTAATACCTGGTGCCAGAGTGACCACTCGAATGCCTTGACTCGCTAAATCTCTAGCAATAGGCAGTGTCATTCCAACAATAGCACCTTTGGACGCAGAATAAGCAGCTTGTCCCATCTGTCCATCATAAGCAGCAACACTTGCTGTGTTTACAATCACTCCTCGTTGACCATCCTTATTAGGTTCATTTACTCCCATCAATCCAACAGACAATCGAATTACATTGAAGGTTCCAACAGTATTAACCTATTCAATTAATGATGAAAAATGTAAGACCATTCGAGTACTGTAAAGCAACAAATTTTTTAAAAAATCATTAAGTAAATGTTATTGCTTTTAAATAATATATTTTTTAAAAAAAAATTCAGATAATAAACGCAAAGCGATTCTTAGAAAAGCCGGTTAAATGAGAATTGATTCATCTATTTGTAAAAAGTTGGATTTCATTACATTCAAGTTTTTAAGTAATTATGACTCACTTACCATTAGAACTTTTGTAAAATCTTCTAATTTATGAGGCAACTGCTTATTGAAATTATATGTTTTAAATGCTACACCGATACCAGCACAGTTTACAGCAACATCAAGGCGACCAAATTTTTCTTTAGTTAATGCTATTGCTTCCTCAACATCTTTTTCAGATGTGACCTAATAACAAAATGTAAGTTAGTTGGACGTGCAAATATTTAGGCCAAGATTTCTTAGATATTGAAAAATTACAATAATACATATATACATCTCAAAACTGCATAAACTCTATTGTTTTTCTAAAAATGATCTACTTCTGAAATACTTACATCAACTGGTGCATATAAACAATTATCTCCAATATCTTTAGCTACTTGAGATCCACTTGATTTAGGTAAATCACATAAAACTACTCGGCCACCTTGTTGCACAATTCGCTCCACAGTGGCCTTTCCCAAACCAGAAGCACCTCCAGTAACAAGACCTACAACGCCCTGAAAAGAAATGACATTAAATTTCAAGCCACAAAGGATGAAAAAACAATTTAAAAATATTATTAAATTATTTAGATGCTCTATAACTAGGTTATAATTCAAACTTTTATGTTTGTTCGATAGTACAAAAATATTATCCCACCTTCAACATTTTGAGAGATGATTTGAAAAAATTGTTGTGAATATAAAATATATAAAATGAAATCTAATCTGTGTCTTTTCAAGATAATATTTTACAAAATTTGAATGACATTGTTTTGACCGCGTGATATTCCAAAGTAGCCAAAGACCTTTGACAATAAACAGGGTCAAACTTCATTGGTTTTGATAGTTTGTTTTGGTTGAATAAATTAAAATTAATAAAGCATAATCGATGCATAACTGCACACGTAAATTTACAATTGAAATATTTAGGAAAATATTCATCAAATAATTGATTTAATTTTTTTGAAATATTGAAACTCGCAATTACATTTTTGAATTTAAATGAAAACCAATCTTTATAAAAATAATTATTACAAAAGTAATTACGTATATATTACATAATACTAGCCATTTTTAATTATTTCAATAGTAATTAATTCAATTTAATCGAAAATGATTACTGAATTTCGATTTCCTAGATAGAAATGCCCTGTCTGCTTTGGAAAACAGAGTGTGGCGGTGTTTACAAAATTTATATAGTGTTCTTTTCTTAAATCATAGATAAATAAGCATTTAATAGCAAATTTTAAATAGTTAGTCAAATTTAAATTGCTTGTAGGTAAAAGTATTTACAAAATATAATTTATGTGAATGAAGATTATAATTACTTAATATTTTAAATTAGGATTGTAATTACTTATTATTTTAAATATTATAATTTTTTTATATGATATAAAATTTTATATGATAAAACATTAATGAATTTACTTCTTATTTGTTTAAATTTTATTATGAATTTTATAATGTTAGATTTTATGTGTTATTTTTTCATAAATTTATATTTTAGCGGGCTTTGTATTTCAGTTGTTTTCGTTTCTTAGGTTGGCATTACGACTGTCACTGTGCGGCCTTTGACAGTAGTTAAACAAATTTGACAGCTACGATCATACAAAGCGATTAATAACATTCATGCAAAATTCGATTGAATAATGTGTTATTGTGAAATGATGCGTTTAGAAAACATGCGTTAAGCTTAAGGAATTAAGTTAATTCATGTTTTAGTTATATATTACATTATAACCTTTTTTCATAATTGAATGCTCTTAGATCTAATTAAGTAAGGGCGATAACTTATTTTGAAAAAATGCGTTTAGAAGTGTAGATGTAATTTTATTTTTGGCACTTATTTAATAAATATATAAATTGTGGTCTTATCTGACAATGGATCTCAGTAATAACGAAAATGGTGAGTGAAACCGTTCATTTTGACATTATTACTTTGTGCAATATATTTTTTGTATAATATATAACTTTATTTCTTCATTAACTTTAATTATCTTCTGTATTTTTTATTCTTCATGGAATTGAATCCTACAATTCTACTTCTGAATGAATGATTGACAAAATGGCTAAATATTACTACGTTTTATTTATATCGTTATTTTAATTAATATTAAAATTGATTCAAATCTAAGATTAATAACCATCAGTGGTAACTAAATTAAATGTCAAATACAATAATTGGCGGAATAATTTAGGCTTCTGTTAATTTACTATACAAGTGATTGATTAATTTTGTATAAATTAATTAATTCATATGTAAGCTATTAATTGGGATTTTTTACTAGAATTATCTTGATCTATATCTTAATCTTTTCAGCATTAGATTAATTTTTATTTGTTTTAGATTCATACGACTACGACACGCCTTCGGATACGGATCATGAGTCTAGCCATGTAGCAGGACATGGCCGAGCTTCCAGTGGGTCGCAAACATCACGTGGAAGTGATGGCTCATCTTATCAGCGCAACAGTCAAGTGTACCAACAGCAGATATCAGGTTCCTCCTCTGCAGGAGGTGATAGACCACCTGATGTTACTGGTATCGGTGATACTGTAGATGCTGGAAATAATTCATCAAGCTGGTCTTCTGCGCCGAAAATGGGTAAGAAAATTTCTAAAATATTTTTGTTGTCTTAACACTAGGATAGTTTCTGAAAGTAATCAGTATTTCATATTTTGAAAATTTATTATATAAATTTGATCATGCTGTGACCTGTAACTTTTAATCACGGTTACAACACATCTGTATTTTAAGTAAGAGTTTTTATTATTGCAGAAAGGAGGAAGAAATGTATTTTTAAGTATTTTTATTAAAATAAAATACATATATATGATTTTATATTGCTGCACTAAACTTATTTGAATAATACCTTTTCTAAATCAGGAAGTTTTTCGGAGAAAAATAATTCAATAAAAATTAGAAAACAATTATTTGATTTACATCAATAATAAAAAAACTTCTTAAGTGCGAAACGTTACAGTCCATTTCCCTATGTTTGTTCATTGATACAAAATACATACATAATAAATGATCTTATATGCAATACTTTTAATTGCCTTAGATAACTTTTATTACATGTTATTATTTCCAGAAAGCAAACATTCTACAGTAAGCAGCGGCAGCAGTCGTGGTACTCTGCTTCCGTGGTGCGCTGGTGCGAATCGAGAGCGCGTTGCTTTGGTTACGCCTGTGCAAACTGAATCTTCAGCGGGATCTGATCTTTTGCCAGGAGAGTTTGTTATGAGATCTTTGTTTGCTGATTTTGCAATTCAAGCCGATCGCAAAATGGAAACTGTTATGGCTGAACCACCGGTAAGGACAATCAATAACTTAATTGCACATTAACGCCAGTTTCGTTCAATTGATAATGGTCTATAATTAATAAATTTTAATTACTAGACATTATAATCTTATATATAAAAATGGAGCTCTCTTTCAAATGTCCGAATAAAACTCGAAAACGGCTGAATCGATTTGGCCAGTCTTAGTCTTGAAAAATTCGTGCCAATCCAGAGAATGTCCAAAAGGTGAGAAATTATTTCAAATCCGCGTAGAAACTTTACATTTATAATTTGAAAATTTTTGTAGAAGCGTAATTTAAATAGAACAATGGACGGTGGCAATTTTGTGAAATGTCAAACGCTTTTGACAGATGATGTTCAATTACGTTTAATAGGATGTTTTACGCGAATATTTACGACAATATAAGTCGAAAGACAAAAAAAAAACTTGGATTGGATTTTACCATGTTTTCTATAGAAAGTATATAAAACTTCCAGTTTGATTGTATTGACAAAATATCGGTAATCTTTGAAAATTCATAATAAAAGCATTTTCTTCCGTTAGTAGTTTTTTAGTATTAGTTAAAAATGTAATTATTTTGTAAAATACCTTTGAATTAAAATAAGGTTTTAAATGTATTTGCCACCTGACCGTTCCAAGTTACCCCGCCTATAGGGTAAAAAGGTGCCGATAACGAATTTTTAAAAGACATAAAAAAATAGATTTCTACAATGATGAAGTAGATGGGAATTTTACTGAACGTAGTCAGATAATTGTTTGTTAATTCATCGAATGTTACTTGAAACTTCGTAACTTAAAAATTTCAAAAAAAAAAATTGAAAAAAAGATTAAAACAATTTTTTCCCAAAAGCAATTATTTTGTTAAAACAAGCAGAAAGTTCTTTGAATCATTCAAAGCGGACACTCAAGAACTGCCATTTTTTGTACATTTAGCTCTATCGGAATATCGGAGTATCGGAGTATAGGAATGTCGAAATATCTGAATATCTGAATATCTGAATATCTGAATATCTGAATATCAGAATATCTGAATATCTGAATATCCGAATATCCGAATATCCGAATATCCGAATATCCGAATATCCGAATATCCGAATATCCGAATATCCGAATATCCGAATATCCGAATATTTGAATATCCGAGTATCCGAATATCCGAATATCCGAATATCCGAATATCCGAATATCCGCGTATCCGAATATCCGCATATCCGCATATCCGAATATCCGAATATCCGAATATCCGAATATCCGAATATCCGAATATCCGAATATCCGCGTATCCGAATATCCGCATATCCGAATATCCGAATATCCGAATATCCGAATATCCGAATATCCGAATATCCGAATATCCGAATATCCGAATATCCGAATATCCGAATATCCGAATCTCGGAATATCCGAATCTCGGAATATCCGAATCTCGGAATATCCGAATCTCGGAATATCCGAATCTCGGAATATCCGAATCTCGGAATATCCGAATATCCGAATATCCGAATATCCGAATATCCGAATATCCGAATATCCGAATATCCGAATATCCGAATATCTGAATATCCGAATATCCGAATATCCGAATATCCGAATATCCGAATATCCGGACTTTCTATTATCCGAATATCCGGACTTTCGGTTATCCGGACTTTCGATTATCCGGACTTTCGGTTATCCGGACTTTCGGTTATCCGGACTTTCGGTTATCCGGACTTTCGATTATCCGGACTTTCGGTTATCCGGACTTTCGGTTATCCGGACTTTCGGTTATCCGGACTTTTGGTTATCCGGACTTTCGGTTATCCGGACTTTCGGTTATCCGGACTTTCGGTCATCCGGACTTTTGGTCATCCGGACTTTCGGTCATCCGGACTTTCGATTATCCGGACTTTCGGTTATCCGGACTTTCGGTTATCCGGACTTTCGGTTATCCGGACTTTCGGTTATCCGGACCTTCGATTATCCGGACTTTCGGTTATCCGGACTTTCGGTTATCCGGACTTTCGGTTATCCGGACCTTCGATTATTCGGACTTTCGGTTATCCGGACTTTCGGTTATCCGGACTTTCGGTCATCCGGACTTTCGGTCATCCGGACTTTCGATTATCCGGACTTTCGATTATCCGGACTTTCGGTTATCCGGACTTTCGGTCATCCGGACTTTTGATTATCCGGAATTCGGATTATCCGGAATTATATTATATATCATAAATGTAAATTAAATCCAATAAGATGATGTCACCAACACTTTTCTAACTTTTAGAAGTTTTCCCGGGGTCCGGAAAGTCCGGATAATCGAATGTCCGGATAATCGAATGTCCGGATAATCGAATGTCCGGATAATCGAATGTCCGGATAATCGAATGTCCGGATAATCGAATGTCCGGATAATCGAATGTCCGGATAATCGAATGTCCGGATAATCGAATGTCCGGATAATCGAATGTCCGGATAATCGAATGTCCGGATAATCGAATGTCCGGATAATCGAATGTCCGGATAATCGAATGTCCGGATAATCGAATGTCCGGATAATCGAACGTCCGGATAATCGAACGTCCGGATAATCGAATGTCCGGATAATCGAACGTCCGGATAATCGAATGTCCGGATAATCGAATGTCCGGATAATCGAATGTCCGGATAATCGAATGTCCGGATAATCGAATGTCCGGATAATCGAACGTCCGGATTATCGAACGTCCGGATTATCGAACGTCCGGATTATCGAACGTCCGGATAATCGAACGTCCGGATATCGAACGTCCGGATAAACGAACGTCCGGATAATCGAACGTCCGGATAATCGAACGTCCGGATAATCGAACGTCCGGATAATCGAACGTCCGGATAATCGAACGTCCGGATAATCGAACGTCCGGATAATCGAACGTCCGGATAATCGAACGTCCGGATAATCGAACGTCCGGATAATCGAATGTCCGGATAATCGAATGTCCGGATAATCGAATGTCCGGATAATCGAATGTCCGGATAAACGAATGTCCGGATAATCGAATGTCCGGATAATCGAATGTCCGGATAATCGAATGTCCGGATAATCGAATGTCCGGATAATCGAATGTCCGGATAATCGAATGTCCGGATAATTGAATGTCCGGATAATCGAATGTCCGGATAATCGAATGTCCGGATAATCGAACGTCCGGATAATCGAATGTCCGGATAATCGAATGTCCGGATAATCGAATGTCCGGATAATCGAATGTCCGGATAATCGAATGTCCGGATAATCGAATGTCCGGATAATCGAAAGTCCGGATAATCGAAAGTCCGGATAATCGAATGTCCGGATAATCGAATGTCCGATAATCGAATGTCCGGATAATCGAATGTCCGGATAATCGAATGTCCGGATAATCGAATGTCCGGATAATCGAATGTCCGGATATCGAATGTCCGGATAATCGAATGTCCGGATAATCGAATGTCCGGATAATCGAACGTCCGGATAATCGAACGTCCGGATAATCGAACGTCCGGATAATCGAACGTCCGGATAAACGAACGTCCGGATAATCGAATGTCCGGATAATCGAACGTCCGGATAATCGAACGTCCGGATAATCGAACGTCCGGATAATCGAACGTCCGGATAATCGAACGTCCGGATAATCGAACGTCCGGATAATCGAACGTCCGGATAAACGAACGTCCGGATAAACGAATGTCCGGATAAACGAATGTCCGGATAAACGAATGTCCGGATAAACGAATGTCCGGATAATCGAATGTCCGGATAATCGAATGTCCGGATAATCGAATGTCCGGATAATCGAATGTCCGGATATTCGGATATTCAGATATTTCGACATTCCTATACTCCGATACTCCGATATTCCGATAGAGCTAAATGTACAAAAAATGGCAGTTCTTGAGAGAACTAAGTGCCCGATTTAAATGATTCAAAGAACTTTCTGCTATTCAGATATTCGGATATTCGGGTATTCGGATATTCGGATATTCGGATATTCGGATATTCGGATATTCGGATATTCGGATATTCAGATATTCGGATATTCCGAGATTCGGATATTTCGAGATTCGGATATTCCGAGATTCGGATATTCCGAGATTCGGATATTCTGAGATTCGGATATTCCGAGATTCGGATATTCGGATATTCGGAGATTCGGAGATTCGGATATTCGGATATTCGGATATTCGGATATCCGGAATATCTGAATATCCGGAATATCTGAATATCCGAATATCTCTAGAAATTGATCAGAATATACATTACTTAGCAAAACAACGTTTGCCGGGTCAGGTAGTATTGAATAAAGATTTAAGAATTAAAATAGGGATAACATGAATATTATTTTGTTCATTATAATCAGGAAAGACCTATATCAAAAGTTTTACAACGTGGAGAGGATCCTCAATTTGATCAATTGTTGAGTGCTTTTGGATCTGTTGCGGAGCACTGTCTGCCTTCGTTATTGCGTGCACTGTTCGGTTGGTATGAACGTCAGATGGCCCAAGGCGGCGCTACTGAACAGAAAAAAGTTGACCAGAAAGGAAAAAGGTATTGTATTCAGAAGATATTTCAATTCACCCAGAGATCTATTTATTATATGTACAATATGCGTAAACACAACATACCAGTAAATGATTTTTATATACACAAATGAAAAATGTTTAATTATTATTGTTATTATTATTAGATGTATTAAAAAACATACTTTTCAAATGAAATAACACATCATTTATTGTTTACAATAAACTTGTGCAAAATAAATGCTTACATTCATCCATAACATCAAATAATATATTTTTTTTACTTTTTCAGTATTATGTACAGTATTGTATCAGGTCCACCTGAACCTGTTGAGAGAAGTGAGGCTGATATACAAATGGAGAGAAGAGACTTAGCTGTAGAATTTTTATTCTGCTTAGCACTCATCGAAGTGTTGAAGCAATTACCATTTCATCCAGGGCATGAAGATCTCATTACTTATATTGAACAAATTTCCTTTAAACATTTTAAATATAGGGAAGGGTAAGATTATAATATTAATATATAGTTTGTTAATAAATCTGCTTTTATTTAGTATTTAAAACTCGTCTTGTTATCTTAGTATACAATCGGGACCAAATGCCGCAAACATACATATCATAGCTGATTTATATGCAGAAGTTGTAGGAGTACTGGCACAAAGCCGATTCATGTCTGTTAGAAAACATTTTATGAATGAGTTGAAAGAACTACGTACCAAAGAAGCTAGTCCAACAACTACACAGTCTATCATATCTTTACTCATGGGTATGAAATTTTTTAGAGTCAAGGTTAGTCAACATATATTTATAGTTCTATTCGGTAAAAGTTGAATAGTAATAGTAAAATAGTAATTAATAGTTAGTAAATGCCATCAAATCAGATTTTGAAGTTTTGAATTATTATATTGCTTGTATTTTATGTTTCCAGATGGTTCCCATTGAAGAATTTGAAGCCAGTTTTCAATTTATGCAAGAGTGTGCGCAATATTTTCTTGAAGTGAAAGATAAAGATGTGAAACATGCATTGGCTGGACTCTTTGTAGAAATTTTAGTTCCAGTTGCTGCGGTTAGCTTTTAAGTTTTATCTATAATAATATATTACCTATAATAATACATTATATAACAAATTTGAGTATTTTGTGCTAATGTAGTTTACAATTTCATTTATTAATTTATATTATTTTTTTCAGGCTGTTAAAAATGAAGTTAATGTGCCTTGTCTTAAAAATTTTGTAGACATGCTATACTCGCAAACCTTGGATGCCAGTACTAAATCAAAGCATCGGCTGGCACTTTTTCCATTAGTCACTTGTTTACTCTGTGTTAGTCAGAAGACTTTCTTTTTAGCAAATTGGCACTACTTTTTAGCTATGTGTTTATCAAATTTGAAGAATAGAGATCAAAAAATGTGTCGAGTGGCATTAGGTAAATATATTAAATCATTTGATACCATTTATTACAATGTTTTTCTTATAATATCTAATTTGTTATCTATAATTAAATGTTTAATTCTAGTATAATACTAAGTGGTGCATTTACGCGATATTAATTACATAGAAATTTCTATTTTGAATTTCTTTTTAATATACTATTTTGCTTGCAGAGTCACTATATCGTCTTTTATGGGTGTACATGATTCGTATAAAATGCGAAAGCAATCAAGCAACTCAATCGAGATTACAAAGCATTGTCAATTCTCTATTTCCTAAAGGATCAAAAGCTGTGGTACCTCGTGATACACCCTTAAATATTTTTGTGAAAATTATTCAATTTATAGCCCAAGAACGATTAGATTTTGCTATGAAAGAAATTGTTTTTGATTTGTTATCAGTAGGAAGAACCATCAAAATAATTCTTACTCCTGAGCGAATGAGTATAGGTTTGAGATCATTTTTGGTGGTTGCAGATAGCTTGCAACAAAAGGAAGGTGAACCGCCAATGCCTAGAACAATGGGAGTATTACCCTCTGGAAATACTCTTAGGGTAAAGAAAACATTTTTAAATAAAATGTTGACAGAAGATACTGCCAGAAGTATTGGTATGAATAGCTATTTTTCACATGTGAGAAGAGTCTTTGTTGACATTTTAAGAGCTCTAGATGTTCAATATGGAAGACCATTAATGATGACAAATACTCAGAATGTTAACAAAGAACCAGATGAAATGATTACAGGCGAGAGAAAACCCAGGATCGACTTGTTTAGAACTTGTGTTGCGGCTGTACCTAGACTAATACCGGATGGTATGACTGGTGCTGAATTGGTTGATTTATTAGCTCGCCTGACTGTACATTTGGATGAAGAATTGAGGGTTTTGGCTTATCAAAGTTTACAGACTTTGGTGCTTGATTTTCCTGATTGGAGACAGGACGTTATATGTGGTTTCACACAGTTTCTGGCTAGAGATGTTTTGGATACTTTTCCACAGGTAAACTAAAACAAGAAAGCAGTAATTAAGTAATGAATCTATTTAAATTGCATAGTAAATTATTAGTTTAAATATATGATTACTAATATTTTTAAATTTAAATTTAGTTTGTGTATGTAATTTAATTACAAGACCAGAGCATAATTACAAATAACTATTTGATGAAACACTTTCTTATATTTTCAATTTAAATAGTTGTCATCAAATTATTTATATTTATGGTTGAAATTTTTTGTATTTAATTAATATTTTTTACAGCTTGTTGATAATGGTCTAAGAATGTTACTACAACTCTTAACCAGCTGGAAAAATGCTCTAACCAGTGTCGCGGCAAATGCTTCTGCTAGAGCTAAAGAAAGCCCAGAGTCTAATGGATCTAAAAAAATAGATATTGTGAGTTTCCATTGTAATATTTCTTTGTTTAATTAGCAATTGCATCCGTGTAATATATCACCATTAATATTATATTATAGAAAGTTGAACCAGCATCTTCAATACTCCATATGGTTGAAGGATTTGCTTTAGTTATGTTATGCAACTGCAGAGTGTTCCCAAGGAAATTAGCTGTACACATATTACGCGAGGTAAAGCATAAATGTTAATGAAGAAATCATCAATTCATGAAAATCAGTGTAAAATACATGTAAATCAAACTTTTTTTAGGCAAAAATGCTTTTAAAAGCACTCTGTATCACAGAAGAAGATCAGGCTGTCATTGATGTTATAGACAAGTGCTGCCCACAAGTATATTAATATTTTCTGCTTATCAAAAGATAAACTAGTACGTTTTTTTATTATTATTATTTTTAGGTTATAGAAAAATTACTTCCTAGTTTACCAGCTGCAGAAAAAACTGCTGCATTAGCTGCTTCGACCATAGACTTACAGTGGATTGCCGATAGAAGTGCCTCCGTATGGACTGCTGATGATTCATGTAATTATAAAAACCAAAGAATGTGGTAGATAGCCCTTTATTGAAACTCATAATTTGATGTCCTTTTAGGTAACGCAAATCGATCAACGACTTCGTTGAATTCAGGTGCCATGGATCCTTGGAGTGCTTGCTTATTTGCTTTCCTTGAGCGTGGACGAGTCCTTACACATTGCCCTCTTGCTGTGACCCATTCATGGCCATTTGTTTTCGGCAGAGTTACTACTCTTTTCACGGTTGTCGATCCAACGTGAGTACTAAAAAAGTTTCTAAATTATTTACCATTAGCAACTTTAAGTTCGTTTTCGTTGAACACAAATTGAATATATAAAGCTAATTATTATTAAATTTCTACAAATAAAATAATAAAAATATTTAAACAAACAAATTAAATATTGATTACAATTTTGTAAATTTTAGCCCTGTGTCAGACAACAGAGCTTCATTGTTAAGAAGTAGTGCCGTTCCTCGACGTCCAGTTACCGAACGCGACGTTTACATGCATCTTTGGAAGAATTATGTTACTTTTGCATACCGAGTGGTACCTCCTGCTCCTTGTCCGAGCGTGAGGTGCGCCTCACCTGACTTAAGTCTCAGGTAAGTGTTTTCTTAATTTATCATCGTAGTTTTATTTTGAATGATCTTTTATTCTATATAAACATCTTCTTACAAAATTCAATAAAATCTTATTCAAAGGTCAATTGTGTGGACATTGATACTCTATTTGTAGTTCAGAGTAATTAATTTAAAATTTGTTTTAATTTTTTTATAGTTTCCTCAGTATTTACTACAAATATTAATTTGTTGTATTTTACAACTCTACTTCTGCAAACTATCTCTATTAACTATCGACCGTAATATAAATAAATATTATCGTAATCCAGTGAAAAGAAGTATGTTTCATAATTCTTTTAACTCTAATAAAAACAACAATTATTTTGAGTTTGAATTTCATTTTTCGATTATTTTATTTTACAACCGATTTGAAAAAAAAGTTGTTGTTTGCATGTAGTAGAAATATTGATTATATGTTATAGATGAAACTATTATGCTCATTACATAATTCTTAATCTTAGGTATTTCAACATAATATAGCCTCGTTATATAACATAGCCCCATTTTTTAAACTTTTATTAAATATATTTTTGTTTGCATAGCGCGTCGACCAATTTATGGCTCTAAAATGGTCAGCTATAATCAGTTTAATGAAAAACTTTATTTCTATAATAATAGAACTTAATCTGTTTGTAATAAAATATTTTTCGACCTCATCTTATCCATATCATATATTATTTTATATATTACGCTCTTATTTTATCATACGCTTCCCAAGCATTAAATTTTAACCATGGTCATAACTAATTTTTTAAACTAATTAAATTAATTAATCTATTAAACCATATATTTTTAATAAAATTAACATTTAGTTTTATTATTGCATTGTGATTGCATGCTTTAATTTGCTTATTTAATCAAAATGTTGCAATTTTTTCTGCGTTAACATCGCAGACTACAACCAATTCTATTATAATTTACTATTTATTCAAATTGAGAATTATGCATTTTCTTACCCAGGCAGGTATCAGATAATAAAATCCAGTATACAAATTAAAAATAACTAATTAATAATTTTGGCGCTGCTTTAGTTTTAATCAGTATGGAACTTGATACTGAGTATGTTTTATTATTATTATACCATAAGAATAAAAAAAACTTGCATGGTTTGAAATTTTGATGTTTAACACAATAGTATTTAATATTACTTAAATTCTACTAATTTATGAATGTCAACAAGTTTTTTGTGTGGTTTGTATTAATTTAATTTGATTAGGAATAATAATAATTTAATGTAATTCAGGTCATTTATGATTATGATAACTTGGAAATTAAATTGTGTTTATTGATTTGTGTAATTATCATATTTCTGTCGACACTAAGGCTTTTGTATGACAGGCTACGAATTTGCTTATGCTAGTGTTTTGATTCATTAATTATGATATATGTTTTTAGTGATCATATCAGATAGACGCTAATCAGTCATTTATTTCAGTCATAATCATTTACTCGTTTATTGTTAATGTAAGCTTAACCGTACATAAATATGT